TTGAAGTTCTAATGGTTATTTGCATATTCTAGCCTTTGTGCCAATTTTGTCCTTTTATATTACTCAAAAAAAATGTGAATTTTGTCTAGGTTATTTATTGACACATGATATTCTTTCATTTATAGAAACTATGTCTGTAGCTCAAAGTCCCTTTTCCCCTAGTACACTATTTTGTTTATTTTGCTTATCTCTTTCTTGTGATCAGTCTTGTGTGAGTACGAAACAGTGATTATGTGTTTAGGTTACAGAATCTGTCATGTACATATCAGTTCCATTTATCAGATGTGTGACATTAGGCAACTTAGATAGCTATTCTATGCCTCTGTTTCCTCGATTGCAAAATGGCTATAATAATAGTCCCTATAGCAGAGCATTGTTGAAAAGATTAGTTAATGTGTGAAAAGTGTTTAGAACAGTGCCTGACACTTTATAGGGATTCAGTTAATGCTGTTTGCTATTAGTAGTAGTGGAGGCCTTTTCTTAAAATCAACTGTTGGTTCTCCATTGCTTTTTGTTCTTTGTTTTGTTGATATCTGCCCTTAATTTTCTTTTTCTTGTTTCTTTGTGCTTATTCTCTCCTTAAGTTAGACACTAATTAATATTTAAACTAGATGTTTGCAATGGATAATTATAACTCCTTTAGATATGCCCTACACTATCATTTTTCTGATAATTATATCAGACATTAAGAGTCACGCTTATATTCATGCTTTCTTCTATGTCTTAAGCTTATCAGTATCAGTTAGCATTCTCAACAAGTCAGATACCCCAGCACATTTTTGCCTCTTAAATAGTTCCTAACTCTTTTATCAATCCTCTTCATGTTCATATTCACCAAAGTTTTGTTCTGGACTTTTAGGTATATACTTTGTCTTCACCTTCGTTGCTCCCATTGCTCGCTTGTACAAAAAACTTTATATTAACGATTCTCCTTTATTTCTCATATCTCAGGTATCTCACAGAATTTCCTTGGGGTTTTGACAGTTTTTGTTTGTTTGTTATTGTCTTTGAGACAGACTCTCACTCTGTATCCCAGGCTGGAGTGTAGTGACTCAGTCACAGCTCACTGCAACCTTGACCTCCCAGGCTGAAGCAGTCCTCCCACCCCAGCCACCCTGGTAGCTGAGATTACAGTCACACACTACTATGCCCGGCTAATTTTTGTATTATAGAGATGGAGTTTTGCCATGTTGCTCAGGCTGGTTTTGAACTCCTGGGCTCAGGCAGTTCTTCCAGCTCAGCCTCCCAAAGTGTTGGGATTACAGGTGTGAGCCTTTGTGCCTGGCCTTCCCTTGGATTTATCTCCTTCCTTCCTTGCTGGAGTTTTTCAAAGACAGACTTGATTTGGTTAAGCAGGCGTACCTAGACTTTTTACACAGGGGGCCAGTTCACTGTCCCTCAGACCTTTGGAGGGCCGCCACATACTGTGCTCCTCTCACTGACCACCAATGAAAGAGGTGCCTCTTCCTGAAGTGCTGCGGGGGGCCGGATAAATGGCCTCAGGGGGCGGCAGTTTGGGGACGCCTGTCTTAGAGTTTTTGTGTGCCTGCAGATATCTCTCTCTCTCTCTCTCATTCTCTCTCTCTCTCATTCTCTCTCTCTCTCTCTCTCTCTCTTTTGTGATAGAGACAATGTCTTCCTATGTTGCTCAAGTGGTCTTCCCACCTTGGCCTCCCAAAGTGCTGTAATTACAGGCTTGAGCCACCACACCCAGCCCAGATAGCTTTATCCTCGTATTAAAACCGTATTTTTGCTCAACGTACAATTCTAGATTAAAAGTTTCATTTATTCTTTAGCTTAATTATCTCTCCATTGTCTTTTGGCTTCTAGTGTTGATATTGGAAAGTCATATGTTCATGTGATCTTGTTCATTTGTAAGTAGTTTGTTTTTTTGGTACTCTTTGAGCTGTTTCAATCTGACCTTTTTTCCCCTTTTAATTCTGAGAAATTATTGGATAGTCTTTGTCTTTATTTTCTCCTTGGGTCTTCTATAGTATGGATATTGATATTTCTACTTATTGTTATCTATTAAATTTCTGTATTTTTTATCTAATTCCCACAAAAAAATTCATATTTGTAAATTACTCTGATCTTTTAGCTTGCTAATGTGCTTTTTAATTGTTACTGCTCAGGCAGTTCACTGTGCCCAGCCCTACATGAGTTTTAGAAGAACAAGTTGCACTTGAAAGTTTAACAGACTATTTCAGTGATTTTTTTTTTTAAGAATGAGATTTTTCTTTCTGCAGTAACCTGTTCACATTATACTAAAACTTAGATTTGTTTATACTTTTTGTGAAATTTTTTAAACTTACAGAAAAAGTATTCAATTAACTTTTGAAAGTAGTCTGAGTTGCTGCTCTATACCAAGCCTCTTATTAGGAAAGTTATCATTTGTAAGTTGTCGTCATTAAATAAGGCCCAATTATCTGGCTTTGGGGTATTGGATGTGGGAATCGTTCTGTCAACATTAAGAAAGTGAGGCTGGACGTGGTGGCTCACGCCTGTAATCCCAGCTCTTTGGGAGACCGAGGTGGGCGAATCACAAGATCAGGAGTTCGAGACCAGCCTGATGTTACAACATGGTGAAACCCCATCTCTACTAAAAATACAAAAATTAGCCGGGTGTGCTGGCAGGCACCTATAATCCCAGCTACTCAGGAGGCTGACACAGGAGAATCACTTGAACCCAGGAGGCAGAGGTTGCAGTTAACACAGGTTACATCATTGCACTCCATCCTGGGGGACAGAGAGAGACTCCATCTCAAAAAAAAAAAAAAAAAAAAAAAAAGTTATCTTTTTATTAAACTAGACTCTGGCACTTCAGTTTTTCTCCTCTCTGCTTCTTTGCTTTGGTGTTCATCCCCAGAAGCTTCTTCACAGCATTATATGTGTTCAACCAGCCAGGTGTATTTCAAAACTAGTTTATTATAGCATGTAAAAGCTTTTCTGTGAGGTGCAGTGACTCACACCTGTAATCCCAACATTTTAGGAATCCAAGACAGGCAGATCACTTATGGTCAGGAGTTCGAGACCAGCCTGGTCAGCATCATGAAACACCATCTGTACTAAAAATACAAAAATTACTTGGGTGTGGTGGTGCATGCCTGTAATCTCAGCTACTCTGGAGGCTGAGGCAGAAGAATTGCCTCAACCCAGGAGGCAGAGGTTGCAGTGAGCCAAGATCATGCCACTACACTGCGGCCTGGGCAAGGGAGTGAGACTCCATCTCAAAAAAAAAAAAACCACACAAAAAAAGTTTTTCTGACTAAGAGGTAAATTATAGGCCCATAGTTTAGATATGTACCATGTACTTATAAATCAAGCTTTTTAAAAGGCTGTTGTGGCTCAGCAATAAATGATATATCAGGTCTTTGGGGTTGAGGAATAACCATAGGCAGATATTAAACAGATAACATTGATATTATACCTTGTACCTAATCTTTCTGCAGGTCATTTCCTCCTCTGGAACAGACCCTTTGAATCTTTACCCTTCCGTCCTCTTCAACAGGCACTTTATACTCCTGACCGGGATAGTAAATTTGTAGCCAGAGCCTGTAGTAAACATCGCTAATTTATCACGTATCTTTTACGGCTAAGCCTGGTGCATGCCTTCATTCTCAGCACAACACTTCAGGAAGCCCTCAATTAAACTTAGCAGATAACACCTAGTTGTCATTTCTGTCCTAATTTTTGTTCCAACCAGAGTAAGCCATTAACTTACTCAGGCTATATTTTGAAGGCTAAAAAGGAATAAAGGTGTAGAAAACAATTAAAGCATTTCCTAAGATCCAAGATGTTTTTCTGCCCTTCCCTCACCTTTTGAAGCCTTTTATGTTATACTTACCCTTGTTTTTCTCTTGCTGTGCTTTTTCTGCTGTTTCATATAAACACATTTATATTGAACATTATAGGTCATATTTGATTCTGTAATGAGTGAAAAGGGCATTCCCCCCCCCCAACCCCAGATATTCTCAACTATTTAGTCACGCTCTTGAGCTTTCTTCCCATTCTTGGTATAATAATGTAGGGTTTTTTTTGCCTGTTCTTACATTGAGATTTTTTTCTTGGAGAAAATTGTATGCCACCAAACCTGTAAGGTGTTAGTTTTGAATACCTTCTCTCTGGAACTAAGCAGTGGTCTAATTCTGCTAAAAAGAGACAGGAGTTTGAAAAAGGACAAGATAGAAGGAAATACTGATAGAGCAAACAAGGATTACTTTATTTTTGTCCCTAAGTTAAAGTGTGCCAACTATATGGCCATCACTCACTGTGTGATGGGCCTTCACTACACCATCATTTGATCTTCACAACCACTTCCTTCAGTGTAGGTATTGGCCTTGTGTACTTCTGAAGAAAATGAGAGTCAAAGAGATAAAATAGCCCAAGGACATACAGCTCACAAATATTACTTTATCATTTTTGACATTTTTGTTAAATGAGATAATAATCGCTGCTATTTGGAACCTGTCATACAGTATTTGAGTCTGTCTGCTGGTCAGGGATATTTGCCTCACTCCAGGATTTAAAGTTCTAGAAAGAGGCCAAAGGCCAGGCGTGGTGGCTCGTGCCTGTAATCCCAGCACTTTGGGAGGCAGAGGTGGGTGGATCACCTGAGGTCAGGAGTTAGAGACCAGCCTGACCAATATGAAGAAACCCTGTCTCTATTAAAAACACAAAATTAGCCAGGTGTAGTGGCGCATGCTCGTAATCCCAGCTACTGGGGAGACTGAGGCAGGAGAATCGCTTGAACCCTGGAGGCGGAAATTTTGGTGAGCCAAGTTCACGTCATTGCACTCGAGCCTGGGCAACAAGAGTGAAACTGCATTTCAAAAAAAAAGAAAGAAGCCAAAAATCTGTTTGGAATCATACTTAAAATAATAGTAGTAGCCATTAACCACCAATAAAATTTACCCATGTCTTTGTTTTAACTGTCTATTGTATGAGAATGTGGAATCTACATTCAATTATTAAAATACTTTTTATCTCCTTTTCTTTTTCAGAGCATGAATAATCTTTCATTTAGTGAGCTATGTTGCCTCTTCTGCTGTCCTCCTTGTCCAGGGAAAATTGCTTCAAAATTAGCATTTTTGCCACCTGATCCAACTTATACGCTGATGTGTGATGAAAGTGGAAGCCGTTGGACTTTACATCTATCTGAACGAGCAGACTGGCAGTATTCTTCTAGAGAAAAAGATGCTATTGAGTGTTTCATGACTAGAACCAGTAAAGGCAACAGAATTGCCTGTATGTTTGTACGTTGCTCACCCAATGCGAAATACACTTTACTCTTCTCACATGGAAATGCTGTTGATCTTGGTCAAATGAGCAGCTTTTACATAGGTCTGGGATCACGGATTAATTGTAATATATTCTCATATGATTATTCTGGATATGGTGCAAGTTCTGGGAAACCCACAGAGAAGAACCTCTATGCAGACATTGAAGCTGCTTGGCTTGCTCTTAGGACAAGGTAAATTGTGGTTGGATGATATTTTTCATACTCGTGGTTGTTAGCTGAAAATATCTTACTAAGTAAGAATAGAATAAAAGAATAGGTAAATTGTGGTTGGATAATATTTTTCATACTCGTGATTGTTAGCTAAAAATATCTTACTGGTAAGAATAGAATAAAAGTTGTTTTATTATACATAACTGCTATATAGAGGTTATACTTAACTATTATATACCTGTGAATAATTAAACTTTTAGACGACAGTTTTAAATTTCACTTTATAGCAAAACAGTGTTTTTAAAGACAGTTTCAGGTTTGTTTGTCTATATTAATTTATGTATATATGTATGATTTTTTTAAAAATTTAAATCCTTAGCTGGATGTCAGTGGTGCATGCCTATATAGTCCTAGCTACTTAAGAGGCAAAGGCAGGGGAATCACTTGAGGCCAGGAATTTGAGGCTGCAGTGCGCTCTGATAGTGGCGCTGCACTCCAGCCTAAGTGACAGAGCAGGACTTCGTCTCTTAAAAAGTTTAAAAAAAGAAATTAAATCCAGTGGCAAATGTTTGGTTTTGTAAGCTTTCTTATTGGAGTGTGATATAAAAAAAAAAGTTTATTCAAAGCTGCAAACTTTCAAGGAAATGAGAGAAAATACTGACAGCTAATTATTCACTTGAATCATTAACAGTAGGAGAGGTTGGATTGGATTGCTTTCTATCAAAATCCTACGCCAAGATTTTACATTATTTTATGTGATTATTCTTGGGAAGTACAACTTAAAGATGCGTTACTGGAACTTTTTCAAATATTCATTCTGTAAAAATGAGGTTTTACTTTATATTCCAGATTCCTAAAATTGGGAGAGATGATTTCAAGTAAAAAAAATTTTTTAACTTGGGCACAGTGTAGTCTCAGGACTTTGGGAGGCAGAGATGGGTGAATCATGAGGTCAGGAGTTTGAGACCAGCCTGGTCAATATGGTGAAACCCTGACTCTACTAAAAAAAATTAGCTGGGCATGGTGGTGGGTTCCTATAATCCCCGCTGCTTGGGAGGCTGAGGCAGGACAATCGCTTGAACCCAGGAGGCAGCGTTTGCAATGAGCCGAGATCACGCCACTGTACTCCAGCCCAGGCAACAGAGTGAGATTCCAGCTCAAAAAAATAAACAATATTAAGATAAACTGATAAAATTTTCTTTTTGTGTTATTCTTTGATTATAGCAGAATACATTTTGGGGAACCTAGTGCGTTAATCTTTTCTAGTCACCAAGATACCTAAACGTTTTTCTTGAAAAAAATCATAATTTGGTAGACTTTAGTGTATTATTAGGTTAGTGTACAATAAACAGATACCTTATTATAAGCTATTCTTTATATTATATGCAAATAAAATACCTGATTTCAAGGGTGTTTTAGACTGAAGCTACAGGATATAAAGAAAACTTACTGTTTCTAAATTTAATGTTTAAATATTAAAGATTTCATTTAGGAAGACTTTCCTCAATTTAAATAGTATTAAAATAGTTAATATTATTAAAGGTTAATACTATTAAAAACATTAAAAATATATTTAAAACTATTTTTCCTTCCAAAGAAATCTAATAAAATTATGCTCATAACAAAGTTCTACATAAAAGGGATTCTTCAAATCAATTGAAATTATATAAAAACATAAATATAAGGATTAAGGAAAAAAGTTGGCAAGTAGTAGTAAAGAGTTGATGGGAATGGTAAAATTATTGTTTAGTTGATAAATTTAGAAACTGCTTTAAATAAAAATCATTTTTTAGGTATATTGGTATCAGTTCCATCAGGCCTTAAAACAAAAAAATCTGAGTGCCAACTTTTTACAGTCAGCCAGTTGAATAAGGTATAATGACTCCAAGAAAGTATTGTAATTTAAAAAAAAATAGCTTTATTTGAACCATAAGGTTCACACTTTTAAAGTTTAACTTCAGTGGAATAATGAAGTTTTAAAGGGTGCTAAGTTAAAACTCACCGTCATTAGTAGTGCTTCCCAGTAACACAAAAAGGTCACTTTACTCAAACAAAACATATTAGTGTTCAGTTCAGTGTTCTGTGTGTATGTGAAAAAAAATCCCATTTTTAAGTGGTCAACTTTACTGTTTTTTTTTGTGTTTTTTTTTTTTTTTTAATCTTGGCCTTTATCAATCTGAAGAAAACTTTCAAAAATGATGTTCAGTCTTAATATTTTTAACGTGTGATAGCCAGCATTAATGAGGAATGGGCAGATTTTATCAGTAATCCTACATACTATTTTTAGTACTTGTATTTTAAAATTTTAGACTTCTGTTTTCTTTTTTTCTTCTTCTTCTTTTTTTATTAAGCTACCAAATGCTCTAGACTTCTGTTTTCTTTCATGCTGAACCCAAAATACAGTTGGAGGAGTTTTGTAAGTGTAGGTACTTTAGGAAATATAACTTATCTGAGCCCATGTTTCCTTATCTGTTTAATGAAGAGATTGAGAAAAGATAATTTAACAGTTCTAGAATTCAGCCATCTAATGAAATGTGTCTAATTAGAATGCATGCCTTTTATTTTTCTTTTCCTGATTAAAAGTTAAGATGGTAACCAAGAGAAGAGATAAAATAATGAACTTAAATAATAATTATTTGAATGATGTCCTTTTTGGGAAAATTGGATATCCCTAATAACTACAATTTCTGACCTTCTGTTGGACTAAAAGAAACTAAGGGCATGGCATTCACTATGCACCTTTCCCACAGCGTCCTTGAGCTCCTCATCTGTGTGCTTCAGAGAAAAAAACCACTAAACTGGGAGTCAGTATACCTGGGTTCTAATTATAGAGCTGTCACCTACTGTGACTTTGAAGATCTGCTCATTAGGCAGCTGGACTCTAGATTAAATGGTCTCTAAACTCCTTTCTAGCTCATACTGTTAGGCAATTGTTACTCTTGTGAGTCCTCTAATGCTTAATTGTCAGCTACCTCTGTGACTCCATCCTGGAGCACTGTCATTGCTAGCTTTAGCCCAAACTTCATGATTGCCGCCAACAACGCTGATATTCAGCTGACAGCAACAATGCAGCCTGAAGAATTGTGGTTATGGTGCAAATGCTCATTCTCCTAATTTCTTCATTCATATCAAATATGTGCAGTAGACAGAGCTCCACTTTCTGTGTCCTATCCAAATGCTTGTGTAGTACTGATTTGAAAAAACTATATGGGGAGAGCTGTGTTACTACCTGTATAGTTGAAATAGTATTATGCCCCTGGAAGAGAACACATGGACAATTCACCTCACTGTTTCCTGGTGAATATTCAGATACTCAGAAAGATCTTTTACCTTTGCAAAGGATTTCCAAAAGAAGCTGTTGTGGTTTTAGCTGCCAGAGTGACTGCTGTCTGCCTTCTAAGTGGAAAGATGTATTTAATGTCACATAACCTTTACCCATATCCATTAGCTCAGGTGGCACTGCACTGGCACTTGCAGTAGTTTACATTTGGGATAATTACACTTTAGACAAGTAGCCTGCAGTTCCTTGAACATACTAGGTACCCAGTAAATACTTATTGAATCAGTGAGTTTTAACCTATTTAAACCTGCAGCCATTTGAAAGGGATTACATAGTGCCTTGAGATTTTAGCATGAAGTCTATTCATAAATAACTGGACCATACGGTGTTTGGAATTCTTTATGTTTTCAACCATTAGTCTTTTTCTACAACTAAGCAAAGACAAATTTTAAGAAAAATTGTAAAATCATAATTTGCTCTTGATTAAAACCATACATATATTTTTATTCATTTCATATCATAACTATATGTAGCAGTTCAATATGACCAATTTTGGAAATTAAAATGAGCCACTCTTGATATGCGGATAAATAAATAACTTTTGCTACATTGAATAGAAAATAAATATGACCTATTCATTCAATATCTTTTCATTAAAATATTAGTTATGTGCTCCAAACTTAGTCAACAGTATGCTAGATTGAAATACTGTAGTGTAATAAATTATTTAATAAGGCCGGGCGCGGTGGCTCACGCCTATAATCCCAGCACTTTGGGAGGCCAAGGCGGGTGGATCACAAGGTCAAGAGATCGAGACCATCTTGGTCAACAAGGTGAAACCCCGTCTCTACTAAAAATACAAAAATTAGCCGGGTGTGGTGGTGCACGCCTGTAGTCCCAGCTACTCGGGAGGCTGAGGCAGGAGAATTGCTTGAACCCAGGAGGCGGAAGTTGCAGTGAGCCGAGATCGTGCCATTGCACTCCAGCCTGGGTAACAACAGTGAAACTCCGTCTCAAAAAAAAAAAAAATTATTTAATAAATTTAGTTCTTAAGATTGAAATCTTAAAATACTTAGCTGTTATTCTTCTAAAAGATGAAGTAGAAACACATGAAATAAGCTGGTGATACAGACTTTATTGTAACATTAAAAAATAGTAATAAGTTTAAAACATGGATTAGTTGACATTGTCTTATTCTAAGATCAAATACTCCAGAATGATGGAACATTTCACAGCATTCCAACTTTTTTTTTTTAACGCCTGAACTTTGTAGATACGGCATTCGCCCTGAAAATGTGATTATATATGGCCAAAGTATAGGGACAGTACCATCTGTGGATCTTGCTGCTCGATATGAGAGTGCTGCTGTTATTCTTCATTCTCCTCTGACCTCGGGAATGCGAGTTGCCTTTCCTGATACCAAGAAGACCTACTGTTTTGATGCATTCCCAAAGTAAGTAGCAATATTCGAAGTAGTTCAATTCCAAGAAACTCGGGGATTTTTCATCATTTAAAGTATTCATGATACAGTTCACTCAGCCATATGCTTCTATTTTTTATATATTAGCACACAGAAGTTAAGAAAAATTAATTTGTAGAGAGGGTATTAGCAGGTGACCAGTCAGAAGGCTGAAATGCTTGAGCAATAGTAATCCAGATGAAAATTGCCAAGGGCCTTACACCTTAGGTGGTGATACTAGTATTGAAGACAAGGGAATATATTTGAAAGATAAATTTGACAGAACTAAGTATCAGACTGGATGTAGGATGCTAAAGAGAAGAACTTGAACACTACTGTGTTTCTGCCCTGAGGTGCTAATGGATGATGGTGCCATCCAGTGAGACACGATGTTAGAGAAGAACAGGTAGAGGTTAAAATGAGTAAATATCTAATTAATGATAACTAATTTACAAGATGTGAATTGCAAAAAAATGTTGAATCTTAACTAGGGTTAAGTATTGCTTCCACAAAACCTGCAAACGTACTTAGATGTATTTGAAAGTAAAGCAGCTACTTTTCCTTCATGCTTCTCAAGACAGGAGTAGTTCCCCCACCTACTCTTCACAGTTGGGAAAAATTAATGGCCTATTTTTTCTTAAAGAAGAAGACAAGAAATAAGCTGGCAAATTTCAATTTTCTTTACTTTCTGCAAGTGAGAAAAATGCAGATTTTTTGTGAATGGCAGATGGGCCAAAGGCAAAGTCATCACATGGTTCTTTATAAAGAAGAACAAGGATTGTTTCAAAAACACATTATTTTCATCATTAGCCAATAATGGATCACTTTAGTAGGGAAAGTATGTGAGCATATGATCTTATCACTAGGGCAAGCTATGGGCATGTTTGGGTTTTTATTTTGTTTTGGGATTGTTTTTGTTTCGGGTAATGGAGATATAGGCATCATACTGCTGCTTTCTAGCTGAATAGTAAAAATGATAGGGATGTATCTGAGTCTCCCTATGTCAGTGATGTTGCCAACTTAATCTCTGTCAAGCTATCTCTTTCATTTCTGGTACACCAACAGAGAACAACACTAAAAAATAAACTGTTTGGCCAGGCGCAGTGGCTCACACCTATAATCCCAGCCCTTTTGGAGGCTGTGGTGGGCGGATCACTTGAGACCAGGAGTTTGAGACGAGCATGATGAACATGGTGAAATCTCATCTCCATGAGAATTATAAAAATAGCCAGACATGGTGGTGCACGCCTGTAATCCCAGCTACTTGGGAGGCTAAGGCATGAGAATCCCTTGAACCTGGGAGACACAGATGATGTCACCACTGTACTCCAGCCTGGGTGATAGAATGAGACCCTGTCTGCCCCTCAAAAAGAAAAAAACTATTTGAAAAAGACGATATATTTCTTTTTATTTATTTTTTATTCAAGTTTTAATTCCTCTACTGTTGACCATCTTTGTGACAGCAGGTAGTAAACCCAAGTATTTATTCTTATCAAATGCAGCCTTAGATTATTTCATTGATGGTTTTTTTCCTTTCCAAAATTCCATTTTCATTTTATGTTCATTATAATATCTTTTTCTAAGGATTCTTAAAAAGAATTGTTTGTCCATGTAGTTTCTTTCTAAAGTGATTGTTTTGATCCCTATGTTACTTGAAGTGTTATCTTCTCATGTCTGATAGTTCTTGGTTGTCTGTTTATATGTAAGTAAAGGAACCAACCAACTCTTTACTCTTACATATAAGCAGACAATTAAGATTTAGCAGATCAACTAAAGGGCTGATCTGATATAATCTCCAAAGAAAGCTCTTTCTAAAACTTCCTCCTGAAGGACAGTGGCCTGACTACCAGCATTCTGGGAGGCTCATAGGGAAAATGGGTTCGTAGTAGCCAGTATGTAAATATGTATGTATGTTTCCTTGGTCTTTATGATACCTCTGTTCTAAACTCTGGTAGTCTTCTAGTCCACAGACATTCCAGTCTTGAGGGAAGGCAGTTTCTGGGTATATGAACAGACAAAAGGACCTGGGAAGAGGAGGCTAACTTTATTCCACAGACTGAACAAATCCCATATATTTCAATTACCCCCTTCATCACCATGGTAATTCCTTAGCTTTGTAGGGTGTTCTGTGGTATCAGTTGGTTTCATTCATTGCTTTACCTTCTCTCTGCCTAAAATTATGTTTTCTTCTATCCTTTTAATAAATTATTTCACGCATTAATCTTTCTGGGTCCAACATTTTACTGTATTATAGTACATTCTCCTTGGTTTTGTATCTTTATCCTCAAACAAGAATGAAAAACATAAAACATTTTGCTGTTGTTTTACTAGGAGACTAGGAGAAAGAATATAATGAGTGCAGAAAGTGAAGTTAGCGCATACTTGAAATAGTTCTTAAGTTTTTTCCTCTTCTGGACACCTAAGTTTCTCTGTGCCAAAAGTCAACATTGTAGAAAGGTAAAATAGAGTGACAAGCATGAGTGACTGCACCAAAACCATCAAAACCAGTGCATGAAAATAACTTCCTCAGATAATCTTAAGGTAAGGAGTATGTAAAAGGCAATTTTTGAATATTATTGGAAATTCGAGACATTCATGGCTTCTGAACTGATTCAAACAATTCTCGTGTTTGAATTGTGTGTCTGATATAGCACAAGAATATTTGTTTTATGTTCCTTTACATAGCTAATTTATTGCATTTTCCCCCTTCCTTTTTCCCTGCAGCATTGACAAAATCTCTAAGATAACCTCTCCAGTATTAATAATTCATGGGACTGAAGATGAAGTCATTGACTTTTCACATGGCCTGGCATTGTTTGAACGTTGCCAAAGACCTGTGGAGCCTCTCTGGGTTGAAGGAGCAGGTCACAATGATGTGGAACTTTATGGACAGTATCTTGAAAGGTTGAAACAGTTTGTTTCACAGGAACTGGTAAATTTGTAAAATATTCTGTAAATTTGCTACTGGGCTTTCCTTTCTTGCTGAACTGCACTCTTTGGTAAATAACATAAAACCTGAAGGTTTTGTTTGCAAATCATGTCAGTTGCCTTCATAAATGTACAGGTAATGATTTGTTAACAGACTTAATGAAGGTTTTAATTACCAGAACTAAAAACTGGAAATAACAGTATCATGCAGTCAGGCTGTGTAATTTATATTTTTTTCTGTGAATTTTTTTTTAACATCAAGATGAGTACTGTATAAGATTTTAATTAATTCTATAAGATCAAATGCTGTAAAAGTATTGCCAAATGCTTTTGCATACTAGGAACAAATTTATAAATATTTTTAAAATATCTCAATGTACTAAATCTTATCCTGGTATACAACTGTAATATTCTTTTGAAAAAAGCTGTGTATCTAAAGCAATGTAAGTACTCAGAATGAACTGTAAAAGAAATTTTAAAACATGCAAGTTCACTAGAATTAACCTAAACCCTGTTGTACAGGGATAGAGGTTTAAAGTTATTTTATTGTACAATACATTGAATTTTCTGTATACTCTGATTACATACATTTATCCTTTAAAAATGATGTAAATCTTAATTTTTATGCCATCTGTTAATTTACCAATGAGTTACCTTGTAAATGAGAAGTCATGATAGCACTGAATTTTAACTAGTTTTGACTTCTGAGTTTGGTACTGTGAGGCAACTACTTAAAATTTTCATGCTGGTTACTTAAAAGGCATTTAGAGATTTCAAGAATGATTTTGTATGCAATGTTTTAAATTTTGACTGATCTCATAGAATTGCAGTAGTCTTCATTGTATGAAATCTTGAAAGTCCATTAGTTGTTCTTAAAGACCACAAACAGACTGGCTATCTGATCCCGTTTCACTAGCTGTTTTGTTTTTTTTTTTAGGCGGAGTCTTGCACTGTCACCCAGGTTGGAGTGCAGGGGCCTGATCTCGGCTCACTGCAGCCTCCATCTCCCGGGTTCAAGCAATTCTCCTACTTCAGCCTCCTGAGTAGCTGGGGTTACAAATGCCCGCCACCACGCCTGGACAATTTTTGTATTTTTAGTAGGGATGGGGTTTCAACATGTTGTTCAGGCTGGTCTTAAACTCCTGACCTCATGATCTGCCCGCCTTGACCTCCCAGAGTGCTGGAATTACAGGCGTGAGCCACCATGGTTGGCCCACTTTGGCTGTTTTTAAAAATAGGACCTATTGTTTTGGATTACTATATGAAAATTTCACAGATTCACTCCTGTCTATAGGAGATAAGAATACATTTAATTCATAACTTTTATATTAACCAATATAGTAAAAAAATAAAGCTCACACACACAAAAACTAAGTTGCCTTTCCTTGAATGAAGGCTGCCTGAATAAAACAATGAAAGAAAAATACAAATAAAATTAATGGTATGTAGTCTAATTTGTAAATGAATGAATAGGGAAGTAATACACACTGTGGATATATTTTAAGGCCTTATGTAGTTTTAATTGTTCTGCTTGTTCTGTGGTTATGTCTAAGACTATAGTATATGATTCTCTTCAGAGTATATCAAATATTGTGAATGCTTTGGTTCAGATGTGTCAAATTAACAGTAAAACAACAAATATACCACCGACCTGTGCTTATTTGCCTTCTTCCATTCTCCCCACCCCCACAATAGAAAGAGTGAAAAAAAATTACCCTTTGTTTTCATAGGACATAGTGTGAAATTTTTAAAAATTGTATCATTACTTCTTTTGGAGAGGTCTTTCTCAAGATTTTCTTGTAACCTATACAGTTTCTTCTTTGTATAGCATGCAACCCAGGGCTTGGCTAAATGTTTTCTTTGATTACCTTGGGAAATCTAAATACTGATCCTATTTATTCAGCATTCATTCATTCAGCAGATAGTTATTGAATGTATAAATCATGCAAGTCTGTGCTAGGTAAATTCAGACTATGTCCTCATAGGTTTTTATGGTATAGATAAGGAGATGGGCACCTCATTGCACAAATAGTACTATTTTGATAAGGGCTGAAGGAGGTTTATAGGATATTGTAACAGGTAAAAGGTATTTTGGGGAGGAAAACATGGGGAGCAGGGCAAGGAAAAGTCCCCCAGAGAAGTGGTATTTCAGCTAAGTTTTGAAGGATAACTAAGAATTGGGTAGACAGGGGATGCATTCCTGGCTGAAGGGAATGAATAACATATGGAAGCCTAGAGGAAGGAAGGTATAGTTAAATATGAAGACTGGGCCTGGCGCAGTGGCTCACGCATATAATCCTTGCTCTTTGGGAGGCTGAGGTGGGTGGATCATGAGGTCAAGAGATTGAGACCATCCTGGCTAACACGGTGAAACCCCATTTCTACTAAAAATACAAAATCTTACCTGGGCGTGGTGGCATGCATCTGTAGTCCTAGCTACTTGGCAGGCTGAGGCAGGAGAATCATTTGAACATAGGAAGTAGAGGTTGCAGTGAGCAGAGATCACACCACTGCATTCCAGCCCAGAGCGAAACTCTCTCAAAAAAAAAAAAAAAAACAATGAAGACTGGTCAGAGTTCAAGGGGAAAGTTTGACCTAGGAATGAGGCTGCTAATTAGGAACACAATTACAGGCCGGGCATGGTGGCTCATGCCTGTAATCCCAGCACTTTGGGAGGCCAAGGCGGGCGGATCACGAGGTCAGGAGTTCGAGACCAGCCTGACCAACATGGTGAAACCCTGTCTCTACAACAGATACAAAAATTAGCTGGGTGAGGTGGTGCATGTCCGTAATGATAGCTACTAAGGAGGCTGAGGCAGGAGAATCACTTGAACCCGGGAGGCGGAGGTTGCAGTGAGCCAAGATTGTGGCACTGCACTCCAGCCTGGGCCACAGGGCAAGACTCTTAGCTAAAAAAAAAAATTACAGATGACATCATGAATCCTAATTTTTATCCTAGGAACAATAGAAAGCCATTGATAGAAAAAAGAAACAGCACCCATCAAGAGTATAGATTTTTAAAAAAATGAAGATGTTAGCTTGCTGGAAATAACAAGTCAATTGTGTAGAAACATCTAATTTTAGAGTGCTGAAGAATACGCCATGGGAAAATGTTACAGAAAAGTGCTGTTCAAACCACATTTGCATTACTAACGTTATTCCAGGATGCAGTGAAAGGATATTTACAAATTAGAGCAAATCCTGAGGTACTTGCCAAGTTGGAAAAGGTACCATAAACTGAAACCCGAAAATCAGCTGAAAGATGTCACTGAGGAGTAATAGCTGCCTTCAAATATTTAAGAGATTAGAGCTCAGTATGAGAAATAACTTTATGGCTATTTGTTCGTAAAGGAAAGGAATTACCTCCTAAGCATTAATGAGTAGAGGCAGAGCCAAAGCTGAATGATATCTGTCATAGGTTTCACAGAAGAAATTCCAAATTTAAATGAAAAGTTGAACTAGGTGTACTATGTGTAAGGTTATTTTGAGACTTTGCATTCCATTTAGATTTTTCCTACTTGCTCTACAGAGCTTTTTAGAAGACAGTATGATGTAGAAGAATTAAATCAACAGTCAGATCTGGGCTCTCTTGTCAGCTAGCAGTGATTGAATCTGTAACATTGGGCAAGTTATTTCTGGACTTCAGTTTTCTCACTAGAAATAAAGAGATGGAACTAATTGAATAATACCACTTACATTTCTAATGTAATGTGAAAATTTCAGCCCTACTCACATGTAATGGCTCATACCAATATTTAGCCTTAACTAGAGTGGTTCGTTAGCTTGTTTGGATATTTGGCTTTTGTGCTTACTAACATGGTGCAATTTGGATAGTAACACATATCCTTGGGAAATGGTTAGCAGTGCATACATAGCTCCTGCCATATCGTCCAAGTACAAAAAGAATGGCAGATAAGAACTTTCATGGACCATTTTATCATCTTCACACTTCTCCAGGTTTCTTACACAAATTTACCATTTCTATATACATGAATATATATCATAGATTTTTTTTTTTTGTGATTTCTATAAATATATAGGTAGTGTTCGCTTTAAGAGAGCTCGATAAGTGAAAATGAATTTTAAGCAGGGCAAGGTGGCTCAAGCCTGTAATCCCAGCTACTTAAGAGACTGAGGTGGAAGGATCAGGTGAGTCCAAGACTAGAAGGCTGCAGTGAACTGACTGTGCCACTGCAGTCCAGTCTGGCCAATAGAACAAAGACCCTGTCTGCAAAACTAATTATAAAATAAATTTTAGAAATTGTAGACTGACGGCAATTGCCATGTAAATAGTAGTATTCTTGCATTTAGACATATAACAAAACCTTGAGAGCTATTTCTCATAAACAGTTATGGAAAACCACATACACTCAAATTGTAAAATCTTCAGAGTTGTTATAGCCTGATCCCTTTATTTTACAGGTGCAGAAACAAGAAAGGAAGTGATATTCTCAAGGTCTGCAATTGTCGACAACGGTACTATGTATTCCATTATCTTCTCTTTACCAAAACTTACCTGTATTAATATACCAATGATCCTTTCAAATTATATGGCATAAAATTATTTGCTTTCCAATGTTAGTCACAGTTTTAATTTTGTAATGGGTAATTCCTTTTTGTCAGCTAGTTACTCTTTGAAGAGTAAATTGGTAGATTGTGCCAATTAATTCTCAAGTTAATGGTTATTTTAAGAATTTAATACTAATTCATTTTACCAGGCACAGTTACAGTTAGTTATGTTGAAACCTAGTGAGGATGATAGCCACAGACACATGAATAAACAATCAAGTGTTTATTTCAGGAGCTGATTTACTACAAATTTTATCGTACAGCATAAGCAATTACATTGAAAAAAATATGAATATAGTTATTACTAATTGGCTTTTAGCTTGTTGCTTTGTTTTAAAACAGGCAGTTTATTCAAATATGATAGATAGCATATTGCATTCTGATAAAGTGCACCCCAAATGTCTAGGAACCAAAAAAGTAACAATTCATGCTTATGATACTTGTAATTAGGCTTTGAGTTTTAACTTCAAGGATGGAAAAGACATTTGTTTTTTTTTTGTTTTTTTTTTTGAGACGGAGTTTCGCTCTTGTTACCCAGGCTGGAGTGCAATGGCGCGATCTCGGCTCACCGCAACCTCCGCCTCCCGGGTTCAGGCAATTCTCCTGCCTCAGCCTCCTGAGTAGCTGGGATTACAGGCACGCGCCACCACGCCCAGCTATTTTTTTGGTATTCTTAGTAGAGACGGGGTTTCACCATGTTGACCAGGATGGTCTCGATCTCTTGACCTCGTGATCCACCCGCCTCGGCCTCCCAAAGTGCTGGGATTACAGGCTTGAGCCACCGTGCCCGGCAGACATTTGTTTATTATATCTCCAAATGGGTTATGCCTCTGACTGAATAGTTGAATGAGTAATGCTAAGGAAGGAAACTAACACCTCTATCCTGGAAATGACCCACTTGACATTAGAGTTGTGTCTTTCTTTCTTTCTTTGTTTTTTTTTTTTTTGGGAAAGTACAAAAGTCTTTACAAATGTCAGTGAGCTGAAAGCTGTTAAACTGGCTTTTTCATATGAAGCCAGATGGACTTGAAATTATTTTACTCCCTCTATTTCCTCTTGTAGGCCATGTACTAAATTTGCATCATGTAATTATGACACCTTTAGAAAAAAGTTTTAATAGTGTGCTTTAAAAAATGACAGTGTCATATTAGAAAAATGGAGGAAATACTGTTGTTAGTTTTTGTTTATCTCCTAGTAAAATACAAGTTTCAGCCACTGTACTACTTGAATAATTTTGAATTTGATTTCTTTTTCCTCTAAAGCAACTACTTAAGGCAGTATATTGAATTGAATTAGATTCAGCCTTCTGGTTTTTTGAAGGAAAAAAGTAGTAGAGAGGGTAGCAGGTAGGTTAACAGATATAGGGGCACTATGTATGGTGAATTCATAGACTATAAATCAAAACTTATGATTAGCATTCTATGTTATAATCTTAGATGAAACTTGTGTTTCTATTTAAACCCCTAATAACTTTGGTAAAGTCAGAGGCCATCTATATTACTTCACCAAAGTGGGAATTTGCTGCTACTTGAGGTCTTTTAAGTCTGGAAGTCTGGGGTGCAAGCCTTCAAGGACCATCCCTGGAAAATAGAATTGGCAGGAGGGAGGGAGACAAAATAGTTTATATATCCCTAAATATATCTGGTGCTGTCAAAATGATAATTAAACTTGCTAAAGTATTCAGTGTAATCCTAAATAAAAAAGAATATAAATGATTGCACCTCTGTAAAATAAAGTGTTGAATGTCTGTGGAATAAAAGCAGAAGGAAAGAAATACAGTGAAACAAATGATTGTGTTGAGGCAGTAGGATTATGGGTGAGTTTTTCTCCTTGACCTACTTAAAAAGGTATCTTTTGCTGGTGTGTTATTTTTTATGATTAAAAAAAGAAGGGGGGATATACCTGGTTCTTCACAGTCTCCTGGTTTTTACTGTCAGAAACTGGCTTCTGGACTTCCAAAATCATAAGACCAAATAGATAAAGGGGAAGTAATTCTCAAATGTATTTTTAGCCTGGCTGTCACAATAGTAAATAAAAGTAGCTGGAGGGTAGGGGATTCCTTGTATTTGGGTGAGTGATACTGAATTTTGTGTTTTGTTTTGGCAGGGAGTGTAATGATCAGGATAATAATATCTGAAACTTACCCTCACTGAGTACCAAGTCTAACTAAAGTATTTTTTTAGGCAGTGCCTACATAATACATCTATTAATGTTAACAATGCAGTGCTATAGTTATTACTTTACCATCTGTAGTCATTTCCTTAGCCCATTACAGCTTTGTTTTTACTCAGTTTTTATGTACTATTGGCAAATATAGTATATATACATTAATTTCTATGTGTTATAGGCCCAATAATCCATTATATACATATTATTTGAAATTGCTTTTTAAATCAGTTAAGAAAGGAGGAAAAATATGCATTTATCATTACTTAATTATCAGTGTTGTTTGTTCCTGTAGTTACATATTACTGTAGGGTCACTTGATTTTAACCTGAAGAACTTAATTTAATATTGTAAAATGAGCCTGCTAACATTCTCTCAGTTTTGTTTATCTGGGAAAGTATTTATTTCACCTTTGTTTTTGAAAGCTTTACTCTATATAAGATTCTTGGTTGCCCACATTTTTCTTTGAGCATTTGGAATATGTTTTCCCATTGCCTTCTGGCTTCCATGGTTTCAATGAGAAGTAAGGTGTTAATCTTAGTTCTTATTGAAGTACCCTTGTAGGTAATGCATTGTTTTTCTTTTGCCGATTTTAAAACTTCTCCTTGTCTTTGACTTTCAGCTTTTATTCTATAAACTATGTGTTTGTGAGTGTCTTTGCATTTTTTCCTTGGCATTCATTAAGCTTCTTGGATGGATAGTTTATTCCTTTCTAACAAAACTGAATAAGTTTTTCTGCCGTTATTTCTCCAAATATTTTCTTTCCTAGTAGCCAGCACAAGGGCTACCAGATTAAAACTGCTCTTAATGTTAATTGACCTCAGGCTGCTTTGCTTTTTTGGATTCTTAAGTTTGTTTTCTGCTTTCCTCTGTTGTCCTTTCATACTGTCAGCTGTTGCTACTTCTACTGTGAGTGTGTTTCTTTTGCTGGAACATGCTTTTTGTGTATTTCCACTCAGATGATCTAGGAAGCCAGATAATTAAACTCATTAAATTATGTCTGAATTAAGAGCAAAATAGCTCTGCCTAAAGCTCTGAAAGGCTATGCTGTGAGCAGTAGCCAGATAACTGAGACTAAAGCTGCCCTACCCTGAAGTAAGAAGTAGTTACATTAGGCATGGTCGCTCTCGCCTGTAATTCCAGCAGTTTGGGAGGCTGAGGCAGGTGTATTACCCGAGGTCAGAAATTCGAGACCAGCCTGTCCAACATGGTGAAACCCCATCTCTAATAAAAATACAAAAATTAACCAGATATGGTGGTGTGCATCTGTAATCTCAACTACTTGGGAGGCTGACACATGAGAATCACTTGAACCCAGGAAGTGGAGGTTGCAGTGAGGCAAGATTGTGCCACCTCATTCCAGCCTGGGTGACAGAGCAAGACTCTGTCTCAAAAAATAAATAAATAAATAAATAAATAAATAAATAAAGTAGTAGTTAGTAGCTGCCCAGTTGATTTGGTTCTATCCAACAGGTAAGGATTACAATGGCTGGCTGCTAGTAGTCTGCTTTTCTTGTGAATGTTACTGCTGTTATCTTTTAAATTTTTATTTTGAGAAGTCATGAATTTTCAAGAACCAGAGCAATATATCATCCCCAAGTTTTGCCAGTGTTGAATCAGTGGTTTCTAAATGACTCATCACCAATGTGAGAAATTGAGGGGGAATATATGAAGTGGTAGTATGCATCAATCAGCCTTGAGCTTAATGTAGTTTGATAACCATCATTGACTGAGATGATGAATATGAAAGTGTTTCCTTTGGAAACAAAGACAGAAAGTTGAGCAGTTGCAAACATTGGGGAAATACAGAATAGAATTTATAGTGACTTTGAAAAAGAAGGAATGGGTTAATCAACACCAGAAACAGAATAGGAGAAAACATGCAATAGTTTAGGTTAATAAATTCTTCCCAACAAATATATAATTAGAAGAAAGGCAGTGTAGATATAAATGTAGCCCAAACATCTAGTTAAGGAACATTTCAAATCATGAAATACTCTGAGCATAATATTAAAAAAAAAAAAAAAGATTCTGGGTTAACAGTTAATTTGATTATGAATAGTGTGGAACTGTGTTTTGAAATGCTGGAAACTGGCTGTATTGGTGGGAGTATGACTAGGATTCATTAGCACTGTTTAAACCCTTATTTTGGTCACATTTGGACTTGGCATTCTCATGCTTCAGAGAAGCCAGGGTCTGGAAAAAAGGCAAATAATAATAATGATTAAAAGAATATAAAAGAATGTAAGGAAAGTCTAACAACAGGTGTTTGCACCAGGCTTTTGGATCTTTCCCAGTGTTTACCCTCAAAGCCTCACTCCAGCACTTGGAGTGAGATATGAGAGATATTACTGTGTACTACCCCTTTTAATCCTACCTGTTCTACGTAGTTCTCTCTACAAAGAGTGCCATGCAGTGTTGTAAAGGAAGAAGGCCCTCTGCATTACAGATCTGCCTCCAAGAAGTTATCTGCTATCTTGGACATCTCTGAAGGGCAGAGAATATGTCTTTCCTTTTTATCTCTGCACTCTTCCCTTCCTTGGTAACTGAAAGCTTCCTGACAATTGAATTAATATACAGGAAGAACATGTTGCCAAAAAGTAAGACTTTCCTTTTTGTTGCCTTATTTGAAAGCTTTAAGTCAATATGATAGACTCATCATTCAAAGCTGTGACTTGGTTTTCCTCATATATCTTTAAATTATTATATTAGAGAAGAAACTAACAAAATTAACAGTACAATGGGGGTATGAGTGATAGTTTTTGAAATGGTAGATATTAATCCCTGAGCCACCAGTTAAAGGTAGATAATTATCCTTTCTGTTGAGCTTAGAGGTTTACT